GTTCAATGATCTGTATGGCTTTCAATTTGAAGATCGCATGCAACGTTAGAAGTCTCTTTGCGCATACGATTTCCAAAGCGTTTAGAATCGCCGAGCAATCGAAAGGAAGCACGACAGACTCAGGAAAAATGTCTTGCATGATATTCTGGAAGATTGATATGTCGGTGTTACATAACTGAGGAATATTTATGTGTATCATCGAACGTAATAAGAGGGTATATTCATTCTCGTCTGGGATATTTCGTTTCATATTAATTGCAGTCGTGACGACAGTCTTCAGTGATGACATACTAAAGTCATAATGGCGCTTCTCTCCTAGATGTTCTGATAATAATTTATAACTGACAGCTAGCTTCATCGCTAGATTTTTTGCGTGATTAAATCCTCCAGCGAAGAGTTTAATTTCAACAATTTTGCCAATATCTGGTGACATCATTGATACGAAACGAAAGAGAATCTTCAAATTATCTGGCAAATCAGCATATCTTGATTGCTCCGAATTGATATTAACACATATATTTCCGGAGAGATTTAAGTTCAAGCTGCAACCTTCGAAGCTTACGATCTTCAAATTAGACGAAATTGCTTGCTTCATCTGCGTAAGATTTTGGGCAATAGACGACAGTAATTCTAGTTTCAATCTGTTAAAGTTCTCAAAGCAAATCCACGCTCCGCAAGAGATCACTCCTTTAAATGTCCGTATCACGCATTCATACGAAATGCTATTGTTGCAATTGATGACATAATATGGCTTCGCGATAGCTCTTATCAAACTTTTGATTGTTTCCGTTTTTCCGGTACCTGTTGGACCTATAATGCTGCTATACAAATGATAACGATAAGCTTGCAATATAGTACGAAAACATCTATCAGTCAAGGGAGTGTTAACAATATTCTGCTGACAATAGTTATATTCGTATCCGTATTTAATTGTTGTATTGAATACTGATACTTCGATAAATTTATCGTTACAATAATATCTTAATTGCGCGACCCATTCAAAGTCTGTCTGTTTAACAATATTTCTCTCCAGTAGCAATTTTACAATTTCTTTATGAGTCAACATGACAATGATCAATGACATTAACAAATTCCTACGTCTTCGCATTAAATTATTTTTTAATTCATTAATTACTGAAATTATCCCGTTGGTATATGTCATGAGTAAAGAGTTTAACATGTTAATATTTATTGGTGTAAGACATTTTTCTACCGAGCAGGTCCAATAAAGTTGCAAGTTACAAATGATCGCCATGCTTGGAAAGTTATCAATGGGAACAAATGTCAAATTTTCATCGATCAGAGAATGATATTGCAGAATATTTTTATAAACTGCGTCTTTCATCTCTTTTTCAAGCTGAATTAACCATTGCTCTTCGCACTTAGTGTCAGTGCATAAGGAAATGTTATTATTCAGATATAACATTTCCCCGTAATGCCCAATGATGCCTCGAACACAGTTAGACTTATTAAATTTCAATCGTTCTATACCAGCAAAACATTTCTTCATGAGCGTATGCTGTTTCTCTGTATTAATCGATTCGAACAATATTTTCTGAACTTCTGAATCCTCGAGAAAGAAGAACCTCGTGAACGACAATCTTTTAATATCTAAATAATTCCTTACACTTTTGATCGCTGTTTCCAATTTCTCATTAGCTTCATTTAAGCTTTCAACTAAGTCAGATGATTTTTTGATTTCATGAAATTTTGGATTTTTCATAAATCTGTTATTAATATCTAATAAAATGTTTGTCGCTTCTAAATATAGTGAAGTTTCTTGGCTTAAACGTATTTCTATTTTTGGATAAGAAAATATTGGCTTTAGATGGAGTTTGCGATATTGCACTTGCGTCCACTGATCAAGGATTTCTTGGATCTTTATGAGGACAGTGTAAAAGTCAATTAAATTTGACAATATTGGCTTTACGAAATGCGATGCTCTTATTTCCTCGATTTTTATAAGGTGGTCGCTAAGAAGAGTTTCGATATCATTCACGTATTTAAAAGATACCATACCGGATTCTTCAGTCGACATCTCGAATGACATCGGCTCCCACTCCTTAATCATTTCAGCCAATTCTTGCTGAAGACGAAGTTCCTTGTTGGCACCTAAACTTATGGCCTTGTATCTGTCGATGTTATCCATTAGATTCATGTCGATCATTTTCTTCAGAGTCGTTCCTGCGTTTGGCGTAAGATCGAAATTGCATATCGCGGACATCTCTTTCCAATGACGCGCATTCAAAGCTGGATTGCACATGCAAACTGCGAGCGGTACGTAAACTTTAAATTCATTAATGTTATTAAGTGTCTGCCAACACAATTTCAACGGTGCAGGTTGCTGCATTGGATCAGGATCGTCGGCGATGCCGGAAAATTTGTACGATTTGTTCGCTGTCGCGTCCATTTTAATGCGCGACTTTATCGTCTTGTTCATATTCGTGATTTCATCTAAGTAATTCGCAGTCTTCTTCTCGATAACGGAAGCATCCAGGCATTCAAATGGACCATTCAGCCATACAGAGTTGTCCCTTCGCCATTGATAAATAGTACATATAAGCTTGTGGAACGACACGATCGTTTCTTTCAATTCGAATATTTTTGGAAACTCCGTTTCGGGAAACTTGAAAAGTCTTTCCTCCGAATTAATAACTTGCATCTCATCGTCTATGCGTTTGTACTTCTTGATCAGATCCTTATAATGCTGCGCGTATTCTCCAACCTTGCTCATATCGTCCATATCATCTAGGATGATAAGCTGCGGGAACATCGCGTCAACTTCTAAATTTAATGCATTTATTCTTCGTTGAAGATCCTCTTCCAGCTCGCTCTTCATAGCTTCGCACAATGTATTGTTTTGCGCAAATACAGGTTGAATATCGTGTAGCCAATTGATAGTGGTCTTATTTAAATCAATGTGCTCGTCAGTTAATATAGTAATTTCCAACAATTTGCTCAACATATAAATTGATTCTTGTATCTTTTGTTCCTGCTCTTTTATCAGTACTTTCGAAGCTTGTGACATACGTTCACTCAATTGTGTCAAAGAATTTGCGTCCCTTGGAATATCCAACGCCATAGATTTCAGATTTTCAAAGTCCGCGCAAATCGAACGATTGAAATCTTGATGATACTTCACGAGTTCCGTCGTGAGGACGCTTATAACATTGCAGCAGATCTGCTTCAAGGATTTCTTGGCACTGCTTTGCTCCAATTTTCCCACATTGTAATACAAATTGGAGACCATAGAGTTCGTTTTGCTTAGATATTCATTATACTTGCAAATGTGTTCGAAGTAAGAGTCGAAATTCGGTTGTTTAGAAGTTAAAGTTAATATTTGTTTTTTGACACTCGACGTGTATATATCGCTAAATTCGACGGAAATGAATGCTACATGCTCGTTCATAGATTTAAACAGAGTATCTAATATCTCCTGTAAATTGCGATGAGACTCCTCGACAAACCAGTCAGGAAGCGCTATCTTTATGTACTTTTCCTTTGCTTTGACGTTCAACCATTTTTCCAATGGCATCAGATCTTGCGCAATACCTTCAATGTTTCGGATAATATTGTGATATGTCGAGAAAACCTTCTGTATATCTGGTTTTGTTATAAGCTGGTCATTTTCACATACCAGCTGAAATTCGATTTGAGGACAAAAACGGCCGTCCTTCATAGTGTCTATTATATGATCAATCGATCTCATCATTACATTGAGAATCTGCTGAACAAATACATTTGTGAGACACCGCATAAATTGGGACAGACGTTCCGCAGAGATGCTTCTTAATAGTTTTGATTTTTGTACGGCATTAAATGTCTCGGTATAAAATTTATTAGTGATCACTAAAGAGCCTTTCTTAATATCCTTAAGGATCATATCTTGAAAGCAACACAGTGTTAATAATCCAAATTTATGGTAACGTTTGAAGTCACAAATTACTGCGGGTAGAATACGATATGCCGTGTTCATAATATATCTGATTATTGGATAGGAAAGAAAGTATCTCTTGGCAAATAAATTACGACGTTGTAAAAATATTGCGTGATCATGCATTCTATTTTCTTCAACGTTTCGCTTCAAGTCAGCAGGAACGTCGCACTCCTCGCAAGCAACATGTTCTCTTCTATATATTTTGCAGGACAGTATGGATTTTAAAACGAACTCTTTCATATTTTTAGCGTACATATCTTTTACTTCATCTAATACCGAGTTTATAAAAGCAGAATGTTTTCGTCTGACCGCATGAGGTATCAAGTCTAATATGTTTCTTTTCCATTCTACGGAAAATTCGGGGACATAAATATCTCTTATGTAGTCTTTTAGTCGGATTTGATTTGGCTGATTGGAATTTGGAAATTGACACACTACAAAAGTTGATTCCAAAGCATTCCAGTCCATGTTTACAAACACTTTATTAAATCCGCCGTTTACCACTTTATCGAAATTTTTAATCGATTGTCTCACAATAATTTTATAAAATATTTTACTAACACAATGTTAAATAAATATCTATTTTGTCTACAATTACAGATTAATAATAAATATATTTAAAACACAATTATAAATTATTATTGGGCAGCTTCTTCTGTATTTAAGAACAGCTCACAGAACTAAGTTTCTTGGATACCGTGTATGTTTTATCAATAGAGTGGACATTCGATCCTTGGACGTATGTGGGAAGTAGAGTTATGCGATTCTTATGTCGAAATTGAAATTTAGATTTTTGAAATACACACACAATGCCATGCGAAAACCAAATTTAATTAGATATTTTATTGCATTTTCAGTTTTGTGAAAAAAAAATGTTAATATATGTATTAGTTATATAGATCTACATGTTGTTTTTCTAATTATATATATATATAGGGAAGACCGGGGCTAAGCTGGTACTTGAATTTTGAGTGGAAAAATATATCTTATGAGTTTCCAATTTATATTATAGATGGCATCTCATGTGTTTTCTTTACCAACAAAGTTTGGTTAGTAGGTGCGTTGTTATGTTTAGTCAAACGTGTTTTCGATAGTCAAAAGTAATTTTTCGAACGTTCGGATAAAATATGTATTCTGGTTGTTATTTTTTAAATTTGAATTGTTCAGGTAGGTAAATTTATGTAAAAATATATTTTGAACACGGTTCTGGTATTATTTCTTCCATTTTCAGAATTGTTTACATTTTATTTATGTCGAAAGTTATAATCGTTCGGAGCTACCAAGCCATCGAGACTAAATGGGCATGAAACCATCTAATCTCGATTTTTTATTCACAATATTTTTACCGTATTTTCGTCAATTACAGCATGATTGGCAATTACAAGCGTAAAACTGATCCCGTCGATTAAGATAAGATGTCTAAAGCTGTGCTAACTGTCAAAAAGGATAATATGAAAATTGCATCAGCGGCGAAAAAATTTGAAGTGTCTAGAAGCACATTACAAAATTGGCTAAAAAAATACAAACGAAGAAAAAACTGATGTGAATGAAGTAGTTGCACTGGTACGTGGGTATCGTACAATGAGTTTTGTTATCATAATTTATTGAATATCTTAATTTGAGTGAATTTTGTTATCGTAAAACCCATTTTATTTCAGATTTTTGACGCAGAAGCGACTCTAGTAAAATATTTAGAATACTACAATAACATATACTTTGGCCTTTCAACAAAGGAAGTGTGAGGTTTAGCATATGATTTTGCGAAGAAATTAAAATTAACTGTACCATCGTCTTGGGAGGCCACTCGTATGGCTGGTGAAGATTGATTAAGTGGCTTTCTCAAACGGCATCAGAACTTGGCTATACGAAAACCGGAAGCGACAAGCGTGTGTCACTAATTTAAATTCAATTAATGTCAAAAATTTTTTTTTACTATTGAAAAAAGTAATGGATAAATTCCATTTTTTGTGTCAAAATATTTGAAATATGAACGAAACCAGAATCATAACAGTACAAGCATCCAATCGAGTTATTCGTCGACGTGGTAGTAAACAAATTGAGTGCATAACTTCTTCTGAACGAGGCGCACTCGTGACTTTGGTAATGGCAATATCAGCAACAGGAAATTCTCTTCCATCTTTTTTTATTTTTCCAAGGAAACATTTTAAGAATCACTTTCTCAAGTGGACCGGCTGCGTAGGCGCTGCGAATCCAAGCGGTTGTATGAACGCGAAACATTTTTCTAAATTTTTGGTATTCTTTCAATCCCACGTTCGTGCTTCTGTCGACCATCTCGTTCTGTTTGTGTTAAACAATCACATTCTACTTATCAATCAAGGGACTAGATTTTTGCAAATCCAACAGTATAATTGTTTTATCGCTTCTACCGTACTGCTTGTCTAAGCTTCAACCACTCGATCGCATTGTCTACGGCCCATTAAAAAAAATCCATGAACGCAGAGTGTGACTTTTGGATTACATCTAATCCTGGGCGTTCAATGACAATTTATGATATTCCCAAAATTGTTAGTAAGGCACTACCACTTGCCGTAACCCAGCGAAATATTATGTCAGGATTCGAATGCACCGGCATTTCATCATTTTTCCAGGAGTACAAATTTTTACCAAGCAGTGTAATAGATAGCCCATCTACTTCGTCAGCATGAACAGACTGAAACTGCAGTTCCACTACCATCATCACTGACTGAATTTCAGACGCTAGAAAATGAACCGATGGCTTTAGGAACGGTGACTAAAGAAGACAGAAGTTTGAGTAAGTAACTCTGTTAGCAATTTGAGCGAAACGCTTCAAAGTATTCGTCCTCACCCGAAAGCAGAGTTGAGAAAGCAAACGCATCGAGGTCGTAAACAGATGTGCCATGCTCACGCTATGAATTCACCTGAAATGATAGAACTGGCAACGGAACAAGAAACAGCTAAGATCAAAAAAGCAGCCACAAAAATACAACAGATGCTTAAAAAATGACAAATTCTTATTTATTCTTATTTATTTTTATTTTATTTTTACTTTTTATTTTTTTTATTTTTATTGTTTTATATCTTTACGGGGGCTCCTCTCTCCTAGTGTTATTTATTAATTTATTTATTACCTAGGTACTATTGTATCTTTTTTATTGTTTTATCTTTTTTATTGTTTTAGAGGTTTTATTTTTATCTTATTGACTTGTTATGTTTTATTTATCCTATTTTATTTATTTTACTTTGTATCTTATCCTATTTATTTATCTATTTATTTATCTATTTTATTTTATTTTATTTTATCTATTATCTATTTATTTCTCTGTTTGTGGGGCCATGAATGTTCGAGTGTGAATGCCGCGTCTACAATATTGTATTGTATTTTAAATGAGTGTGAATGTGGTCGCGATTTACACTGTTAATTTTAAATTATTATATGGATTGCTCACCGCCGCGCGTGCTCCTCCGGGACTTTTATGCTTTGACAATTTATCTGTGATATCCCGGAGGAGCCGAGTGATACAGCTGTGATAATATACCTCCCCGGCCTGCGAACCGGGGAGGTATGATTATTTGTGATTCGCCCAGGTTGGGGGGCTTGCCCCCCAGCCTTTAATTGTAACGCCCATGCGGGGGGGGGGCCTTTGTCCCCCGCAATAAATATATTATTTATGCGCGCGGCATAGCCGTATAATTTTGTATTATCGTATAGTAATTTTGTATGATACTATCGACAAATCTTGATCCGCAATCATCGACGAGTACTGGAAGTTACCACGTAAGCCGCACTCTTCGAAAAAGGCCAAGGATTTTACATCCAATTTCGACGATGACTGCAACATTTATTGTGTGTTCTGAAAACATTCAACCTATATTCCAAAATAAAAAGTGTCTCGTATGCAACCGTGCTGCACATGACAAGTGCACGACTGATAACAATTTTGTAAATACTGTTTGTCTGATATGGAATCAGAAGATTCAAATTAAATATTCGAAATAAAATTTAATATAATTTTTTATTTTTTGATCATAATAACGTGTTTTTATTTCATATAGCATCGAAAAAAATGTGGTGCCCGCACTTAGTCCTGACATTCTTGAAATTTCATTTTCCGAGGTCATTTTTTGTGTACGTATATAGATGAAATGGAGTTGCAAACACTAAAACTATTGCTATTTTGTAGTCTTATAATTACTCTGTAAAGCTAATAATCATTTGACTAAAATTGTTTACTTTCCCAGATAGCAAAATGTCTGCAGTCTTCTAGCAGACTATCAGCAGGTTCGAGCAGAAAATGACGGCAGTCTGCCATCAACTGCGTCCGCACTAGGTTTGTGTTCCGTTAACATCGCCTGTCGATATAATGTGAAGGCAGTAAAAATTATTGGCAGAAACTGAGCAGATCCTACCGACATTATCTGACGCTTGCAGATTCTGTTACGTTTTTTCTAGCAGTTTGTTAACAGTATTATGTACATCTAATTCTATTATTTTGTTGACATAGTGTATAGCAGATATTAAAAAAATCCTTTTCTACAGACTTGGCTATCTGAGTTGTTATTGAAAATTGCAATTGAAAAAAAGATGTCCACTTAGCCCCGGTCTCACCTATTATAAATGTGTACATATAGTATTATTATAACAATAATTATATTGATCATCATTAATATTGATAATGCTATTATATTATACATTCACTAATTAATATGTATGCGTATGTATGTAATTATATGTTGTACATACATATTCACATGCATATCGTTTTAAAATTGTCATGAACAGTTGATTGGAAACATCTGCCATCTACTGGAAATTTGAATAGTTACAACACATCACGGATGTCATATATATTGAACTCAGTCGATCCATTGATTTCGTGTTTATGCTTCTCGTGATCAGTTGTAATAAGAGGTTATAAATATGAGTAATATTTATATACAAGAACCGCCTACTACAGGCAAAGTAAGTGTGAATTATTTTATATATATATATATATATATATATATATATATATATATATATATATATATAATAACGC